GAACACAAGAGAACTCATCCTACCTACGTAACGTCAACGGTACTGAAAATCCCCAGGCGTGCAGGTTTAGCAACAAAATAAATTGCAGTGATTTCAATTCATTGCTATCTAAAAAATTAAAAGTTCTACAAATACCTGCTTTCTAGACAAGCGCTGCATGTACAGCGTTAACAAGAAAACTTTCAACAGTTGCGAGAAATCCCAATTTGGTTTCAAATCACCACCAAAAGCATCGCGCTCCCTATCCCCACAACTGCAGCTGCTGACCCAGCCGCGGCTACTCTTGTCGTCTTTCGCACAGAGGTGGTCCCCAAAGAGTTCACCAGTATTAAAAACTGCGACCATCGCTAAAGGTGCTCAGAAGATGCAGCATACAAACGAGATTTGTATGCAGCATTGAAGGCATTTTTTAAGCAATGTTTAAGGCAAAAGATCACAATCAGATCAAATAAACCATCAGCCGTCCAACCCAGAGAAGAAAAAGGGACTCATCTGAAATTCATCAGCAATTCGGGGGAGATTAAGAGGAAAGTTTTAGACGTTACAGTAGCCTGAATCCGATGGCAGCTGGGAGGCTTGCTTGAAGTTCTTCTTACTGGGCATCTTCTCTTCAGTCAAGACACACTTGGCTAAATAACCACGCAGCCACCCCTGTGCTGCGCTCGCTCCTGCTATAAATTACCTCATCTATTTTTCATATTCCTACTGCTTTTTGGACTGCGCTGCAAGGTTTGCAAGAGATGAGTTTTAACCTTTGCTAGAGACTACTCAAGGACAGAAGTGGCTTATGAACCCTCGCTGTGTAAAAAATTTCAGTATTAAATTTCCGTAGCTCAAACCGTGAAGCTATTTACTGAAGCTTTATACAAACTAATTAAATATAAGGCTCTCGTGGGACACGAGGAGAAAGAAAAGAAGAATTAAGAGATAAATCACTGGCTTTTCTTTCCTCAGCAAATGTACACTCCAATTTAGTACATTAAACCAAAAACTAGTCTGACAGTCCTTGGTCGGGCATAGATAGGCGGCATCCAAATCTCACATGGAACACACTGCACAGCATAAATTAATTATCTCTGCTTTACCGCAACTTGCACAAAGGAATTGGGAGAGACAATCCAGACAAGGGGATGAGCTTGAGATATCAAAGGCTCCATATGGAGACCACAGAATCTCACTTTCCAGCTTCACAGAACTCATAATCTTTGTGAGCACATGGTACAGAAACATATCAAAGCAGCACTTCCCGCCCCTGCTGACCCCATGTCATCTTGTCAGGAGAATTCCTACCGCATGACACGCAGCCATTTCAGAGTTTCCTCAAAGAGAGAAGCACTCCCAACAAGTTTTGCAAGAAGAGCCCACTAATACTGGCAATCTCTCCTCACCGACAGCGTGAAACATTCAAGTGCTGATAGCACAGCCACGCAGCCAAACACAAGGCAGATTTTGCTTGCATCATCTAAAGGTAGAAGACTCAAGGTCAATGTGGCTGTTGAGGAAAGCCACCCTGTCCAGATACCTCAGCAGGTTGATTCACTTCTGCGGAAGACGGCAAGTTTGTAATTGAACCTCCTGATACTAGAGACCACAGGATCATTGGACAATTCAGGTTGGGAGGGCACTCCGGAAGTCATCCAGCCCAATCTCCGGTGGTCAGCTGAAGGTCAGACCAAGTTACTCAACGCCGTGGCCAGTCTGGTTCCAGCAGCCTCCAAGGATGGATGCACTGCACCAGTACCCAGAGACTACAAAGCTTGTCCTCAACCGTACTGCACCAGTAATTAGGAAGAAACACATCGCTCCCTCCGTGTCCCCTGACCACTGCACAGTAACAGTTTGATGTGTAAGGTAAATCACCTTCATCTTCAGAAATTCATTTCATCCTAATCTCCTCTGCCGTTAGCTGCATGCACAACCCATGGGAAGAGCCAACTCCAGCCCAAAAGAGGCAAAGAACTGGCTGTCGGAAAAAGACAACAAATACCTACAAGTCATGGCCATGGGAGAACAAAAAGTTTCACTCATCAACACCCTGCCGCCCCTACACACCTTTTACAAGAAAAATTACCAAGTTCATTCAGCAACAGAAAACCAAAAATTTTGCATGACAATGATCTATTAACCATAAACCACACTATTCTTTAAATAGTTTTTGATTAACAACTGATGGCTATTAAGTTTTTAAACAAAGCTCAATCATTCTAGTGTTAATAATTTAAAGTGCTTAAGTACGTGCTTGTGGATTAATGGTTTTAAATGAAGCCTCTAAACACGGTTTCCAAAGCACAGCCAGAATGGAGCGCAGCAAAAAATGCAGGAAGTTTCTAAATGCTAGTGAAAAATATCAGGGTCTTCTCATCTGAGAAACAGATGATACCTTACAGTTTCTGTAGCACACCAACACCTGATTCATCTCACTCCCACAGCGACTGCTTCACAGCATCATTTCACAGCACAAGAGAAAAGACACCAGACCACCCATAACCAGAGTTAACACCATTTCTACGCCACTCCTGCAGTTAAAGTAAGAATTTGATCAGGACACCAACATTGTTTTTTGCAAGGACCATAATGACTAAGTAGCACCACACTTTTGGATCTAAGCGTGTCTTTAACACCATCTCATCTCCCCACAGTGGTAGAGAGACCTGCACATCGCTGGAATTGGAGAGGCACGAGGTCTTACCGCTCATGAGTATTCCCATTGAGCCGAGTTGCTACCCAACTCAGAACCAAGGTATCTACAAGATATAAAGCAAGTTTCCTGAAGTTTTAAGAAGAGCTTGTAACTTCAAAGTGTCCCCCAAAACTTGATACCTAAAAGCAGAGGGATGGCGATCCCCATTCTCAAGGCGACGCATGAAGGGTTGAAGCCAGGTGGAGAAGGGAAGCTCCCTGCTCTACTTTGAAACAAATGAGGTGATGGGGGAGAGGATTATTACCGTGCCATCATGTGTATTTTGGAGCCGTTTGGCCTATTAGCCACTTTGGGGCTGTTTCTAGGTGTCCAACACAAGGCTTCCCCATTGTCACACAGCTAACCTCGACCTCCCTGCCATCCCTCACGGCAGGCGCGCCTCGAGGGGTCCCCTGCGCAGGGAAAGCTGAACTGCGAGAGGGACGAACGTCCCGAGCCAAACTCCTAGCTGCCCTCGCCACTAATTTGGGAAGAAATCCCCTTCTCCCAGCTCCTCGTGATCCATTTACAGAGTTCTGCTCTTCTTAACCTTGCATATTTAAGATAGGAACATTTTATAAAGCAAAAATATCTATATGCCACGACAATTCACTGTTGGGACCACATTTACGGGCTGACTTGACGGGTCTCTGCATAAGCACCTGAAGAGCTGAACTGAATTTTGGCGGTAATGCTCCCTGCACACAGCGAAGGCTCATTTCATTTTCACCCATCTTGTTGGTGTCTTTTCTGAAAAGGAAGGGAAAGATTCCTTTTCTTTTCTAACACATGAAAAAAATCCGAGATGAGAAGATGCGCTGTACTAATTCTAAAGCCTTGTTTCTTGTTATTGCCTCACAAATATTGTGACTACGAGCTTGTCTTTATCACGCACTTGTCTTTATCACGCACATTTTGATGGGGTAAATAATGAAAGAACATAGAAGCCTCTAATTTTACACTGACTTCAATGCCCATTTCCATCAAAGACAGCTGGAAAACAGGAATAGAAACTAAACTAATAAAAAAGAAACATGTTCTTCTCCATTTCTAACTTTAAGAACCTGAAAATTTCAAAAACAAACAAGAAAAAATAAAAATAAACTCCTACCCAGCTTTGTATTCAGTCAGGTAAGCATTTTTAACATAAATGTCAAAACTACTTCTAGGTACGGAGTACTGGGGTCAGTGTAGGACACGCATCTTGTAGGACAACACGTTGTAATGATTTGCAACCAGTGAGCAGCCCCCCCAGTAGGAAAAATAACTAAGTACATAATTGCCAAACAATATTTTAATTGTCAGTTTTAATCTAGGTTTCCTACTCAGATTTAAATCACATTTTTTTAAATGGCATTGATTTAACTCAATCAACCCTGCCCGAAGGCCATCTTTCCTGCATGCTACGAGCATACCAAGCAAGTTTTAACTGATGAGACAAATCACTAAATCTCATAACTCCCCAGCAGCGAGAGATCAAGCCATACACAAGCCATAATTATTTTTTTAAATAAGTGTTCTCTTGAAAACTTTGCAAAATAAGAAGCTTAGTAGACATTTCACTGTCCTCTTTTTTTTTTTTTTTTTTTCACCTAGGGCACATGATAGCCTGAAACGCAGCCAACTGAATTCTGCAGAAGACTTGCACGATCATTGCAAATATGCCTCCGACTCTTTATGGCCTTCCTTATGATGATGGGAATAACACTGATGCATTAGCTTTATTCATTCATATATGTAGGCTTATATATGTGTGCATACACACACACTGCAACCTTAAGGTGTTACGCTCAAGAGCACAGTAAGAAAAACCAGGCAGCAATATTATGGGCTCACCAAGAGCAAAATCCTGAATAATGGAACTTTCTAGCACAAACAGCTTTACAGGGA